ACCTGTACAGACCAGTGAAGTTCAGAACAGGTGACTCAGCCCCTGGGCCTCGGTGCACATCAGGGGCCAGGAGGAGGCCAGGCTAAGGCCTGTCTCCTAACCCTCACAGCTGCTTCTGCCACTTGAGGAAGCTTTGATCGCTGCATTCCCCGGGTGCACGTAGGGCTTAGAGGGGTCCAGATCAGTGAGGGGGGCTCGGGATGCCACCTCCAAATGCAGACTGTGAGACTTTCTCTCATGGCTGCCTGGAATTCTGGTATGAGGAGAGGGTACACCTAGGGTGATTCCAGTATGGGAGAGCATACATTTTTGGTGGTTCTGATACGAGAGAACATACACTCAGGGTAATTCCAGTATGGGAGAGGTACACTCAGGGAAATTTGGGTACTGGAGAGCATATACTCAGGGTGACTCAGGGTGACTCTGGTATGGGAGAGAGTACACCCAGGGTGACATCAGTACGGGAGAACATACACTCAGGGCTCCAGCTTCTCTCCGCCACTCTCCAGCGTATTTTCACGTGGTTCCATTCACTCTGTGCCGCATTATGCCGTTAGAACTACGTCAACCTTTGAGAGGGGAGAAACTGGCTTCCGTTAGTTAAATAAAAGTGGTTTAAAATTCTTTGCAGCTCTTGACAAAAGGCTAATTACCCAAGTAATTCAGTCCTGGGTGTAATTACAGAGCAGTCTCATTGAGAACCCATCAGCAACGGCAGGCAAAGCCGGCAGCGCCCCCACATTTGCTCTGTGCTGGGAGTCCTGGAGCCTCTGCCTGCCACCTGCCCTGCCCACTCACTCACTCGGGGAGTGGCCCAGGACCCCCCAGCCTCCGCACTTAAGGTGGGCTGGAACCACAATCAGCGAGAAGGCGGCACCCTGCTGAGCCAGCGTGATGCGGGAGGGGCCGGGCAGCTGGAGGTTAGATGCCAGCCACCTTCCTGCACATGTGGGGCCAGTGTGTGCGTGACGCCCGGTGGATGCGAGTCCTGCCAGTGCATCTGGTGAATGGAGGAAGCTGTCACGGGTGGAGAATCGCTTTCCTCAGAATATTGGAGCTCTGGCTTCTGTGTTGGGGAGAGGGATTCGTTCCATGGCACTGCCTGACGGTGAGAGGCACAGCCCCCATGTGTGTGTGGGCATGTTTCACGGGGGTCTGGGACTGCCCTCAGAGTGCCTGTCTGGTCACAGCCAACAGTGGCCTTAGGCCTCCCCCTCATTCCCGGGCCTGTAGAGCCCCCAGAGAGTGGGCAAGAGAGGATGGGCCGCGGCTCCTGCCTCTCTCTCTGTGGGTCCCCAGACCTGCCTCTGGGAAGGGAACTGCAGAGCCCACCTGGAGTGTCATGCTGTCCCTTTGCTGGACACTTCTGAGTGCCCTGAAAGGAGCCCAGGCGTCTCCCTCTAACATTCCCCTTCCCTGCCCTCCCCTGCCCTCTTCTCCTCTTCCCTCCCTCCTGTTCTTTCCTCCTGTCCCCTTTCCTCTGCTCCCCTCCCCTCTACTGCCCTCCTGACTCCTTCCCTCCCACCCCAACCCTCCCCACCCCTTTCTTTTCTTCCATTTCCCCCTTCCCGCCCTCCCTCTCCCTCCCTCACCCTCTTTCTCTTCCTCTCGCTCTCCCTTTCTCTCTCTCTCTCTCTCTCTCTCTCTCTCTCTCTCTCTCTCTCTCCCCCCCCCCTTCCACTGGAACAGTAGTAAGGTACAGTGGAAGAACATTCCTCCAGTGTAGTGCGAGCACCATGTGGGTCTCTCAGCTCCATACATGGCAAACCCTCACAGACATGGGCTAGCTCCCCCGGGGGTCCGTGGTGACTCCTTATGTCAGTTTCTCTTGAAGTATGCAAAAGTTTCTTGAGGACGTACTTGATTCTTAAGTTGGCACAATGCAGGTGGGGACATTATTGAACAGTCCTAATGCCTGTTTATGCCCCCTTTCCAGTGCCTCAAATGGTTATATTTTGGGGGATGAAGTCACTGAGCTCCTCTGGGCAGCGCCTAAGGCACGAGCCTTGTGTTGAGCTTGGACCCCGGGCAGTGCCCATCCTACTTCATGAAGAGGGTCAGACCCTCGTTAATCTAGAGGGTCCGCACAGACTACTATTAACACAGAGAGACTCGCGGAGTTCATTTATCTCTTGTCAGAAACGATTGAGCAGACCTACCTCATGGTCCATTACTTTTATAAAACTCAGGGTGTCATTAGACTCCGCTTCTGACAAACATCAAGGTGCGTCCCTTGGTGTTTGTACCTGCGCGTGTTGGATGCGTCTCCCTCGGTGCTCGGCTCACAGGTTCTGCTCTGAGCATCATTTCACCCAACTCAGGTTCGGGGCAATGCCTGGCCGTGTCGGTTTCTGTCCCCGGCAGTGCTTGGGGTCCATGTGTGGTGCCAGTTATTTGACCCCAGGTCAGCTGTGTATAGGCCAATGCCTCCCAGCCACCCTCCTCGACTTCAGCTTTGTCTCAGACCTGGGGGACAACCTGGGGTCCATCTCTGAGGCTTCCCGGAGTGCCCAGCAACACCTTAGGTGAGAGGAAGCCTGGGTGTGGGGACAGCACTGGGGGCGGGTGCCATCCCTTGAGGCCCACCCCAGGTAGGGCTGGCTACTGTAGGCTTCAGAGATGCAGGACACAAGCGAAGTAGCAGCAGCACCCCAGGGCACCTTCTGACACCGCTGTCCTTGGGTGCCCTGAACTGAGACCAAGAGAGTAGGAAGCAGGAGCTGGGTATCCATACGGGCTGGAAGGGGAAGCAGACCGTCAGGTCAGCTGTCAGAGCCAGAGGCCGGGGACCTGCGCCGGGCATCCCAGAGGGGAGCAGTGGGTTCCTGTGGCACTTGGGGCGATGGAGGCTCAGCCTGACCCCGCCTCAGCCCGCTGGGCTGTGTGCCACGGGGCTGACTCAGAAGCAGCATCAGAAGGAATGTGTGTCTACTCCAGTCACCCTGCCCAGCAGGAGCTCAGAGACGGACGCCAGGAGCAGGACTCAGGCTCTCAGCAGTGATCCCTCGCCCGGGTCACTGCTGGCATCGGGAATGATCTGCTCGGTCAACAGGGAGTGGACGTGGCTCTATGCAAGGGCCTTTATTTATACCCGTTTGTGCAGAGCAGAGACCCAGACATTCAGTGCCCTGCCCTGTCTGCGCAGAGCCAGGCGGCTAAAGAGGACGTGTTTGGGTCCTCGCCACAATCCCCCTGGTGCACACGCCAGGCCACAGGCCAGCACAGGGCACTGGGCACTGGGGTGATGCTCCCTGTTCCTGCACCTGGAAACAGTCTCTCCAGGGCTGGTGTCACCGCCCTGCGCTGCCCACATGCTGAGTTGGGATGCAGAGTTCGTTCCCGTAGGCACCACCCTGCCCGCTCAACCCACGACCAGCCGGCAGGGTTGGAGACTGTCTCCAAGGAGACGCGGCCACCCGCTGAAGTGCCTGCACACGCAGTCGGATAGGGCCCCGGGGCAGCCCAGCAGCCTCACCATAGCCCACAGCCGCCACCACCCAGCCACCGAGCTCCAAGTCTCCACCAAGGACCTCCGCAGACTTGCCCGGTTCTGCAGAGCCCAAAATTTCTGGATCTGAAGTTTTGGACACCTCCAGATTCCACAGTCCCAAAATGCCAGGGGGAGCTCACCAAAGTAGATGAGAAAGTAACACAGAACTCAAGGCAACAAACAGCAACAATAATGCAGAACTAAATGCAACAAAAACGCAACAAATAGTAACAGTGATGCAGAACTAACCACAACAAACAGCAACAGTAACCAGAAGACTCAGTGAATCCTCCAAGATTTAACAAAAACCCTGCAGAGATATGTAGCAATTTTCAGGTTTCTTTTGCCCAAAGTATTTTTGAAACAAATGATTGCCCGCCTGCTAGGGGCAGGTGTGGTTGGTGGCCAGAAATGAGGCAGTGATGGGGCGAAGGCCATGTGGGTGGGGGGTTGTTGCCGAGACACCAAACGCCTGGAGACAGACACCAAACGCCCAGAACGTCTGTATTATGGACAACCTTGTAAACCATGGGGTTTAAATAAAGTGAAAAGGAAAAATAGTGCAGAGTGCGTGTGTCAGCCCGGGGTCTCCCATTTTCACTCTGGCGAGCTGGACATTGCTGATGCTCAGGCCACAGGGAAGAATCTTGGAACGACCGAGGCGTGACCACCAGCTCGCCCAGCCCCCGTCTCAGGTCTCAGGGGCTTCGTGCCGTCAGACCGCGTGTGAATAGTCTGGTGAGACGGACACGGGATCTGAACGCCCAGCAGGGCAGTGGGCACTTTGCAGGTCTGGCCATTGACCCGCTTCTTGGTCACCGGCTTCATGTGTGTCTCTCCCCTCTTGCCATGGTAAGCGCCTCTCTCTGGGGGATTAGTTAAACCCCCAAAGAATAGAGAAAGGGGCGCTCTTCTGGGACCCCCTCATGCTCCCGTGGGTGGTGCAATAGGAAGAGGTGTCCTTGCTCAGCGCCCCCAGTTCAGCCCAGGACCCCCAGAGCAGACGGCTGTTCCTGCCACCCAGCCCCCCAGAATCACAGGGGTCTCTGCTTAGACAAGGGGAGTCAGCCCAAGGGTCTCTCCAAAACCAAGTCCCAGCTGTGGAACTCACCAGACAGACCGAGGGGGCCACTGAAGGGCTCATGGTGAATGAGGTGGGGATGGCACCTGGGAGATGCGTCCAGAACAGGCCCAGCATAGAGGGCCGGGGACCAGGTATGCTCTCGAGCTGAATCCTGCTCCTGCCAACAGCCGCATGTGCATGTGGTTTGGTGGGTTTGGGGACAGGTGTGAGTCCCAGAGGAGAAAGGGGCTGTGGCAGTCAGCGGCCTTCCTCTCCTAGAGAGCAGGGTCCCCACGCTGGGCGACAGCCTGCACGGGACCCCCAGGCTCCCAGGACATGCCCTGTGGATACTCTCAGTGTCCGCGGTGTACTGTGGATACTCTCAGCTGCCCCAGATCAGCTGGGCATGCTGGGCCCACGTGACCGTGCTGCCTTCTTCCATTCTAGGTGACGTATGAAGTCACGGGAGCCATCGAGAAAAACAAAGAGTCCCTGGCCCAGAGCCTTCTGTCTGTGATGAAAAGTAAGTGTCCCCCACTGATTAAAATGCCACCGGCTCCTTGCTCACTCCTGTCTCTGAGTACTGTCCCATAAAATATGCCACCCACTAAAGGACAATTGAAATGTCTCTTGCATCCCAATACCCAGAAGAATCGGGCAAGATCACGCCACGTGTGCTCTGGTTACAATTTAATTTGGACACTAGCAGAAACCGTAATTTAGCCAAGCTTTTAACAGAGAGAAATATAAAACACCTTCCCCACTCCGGTGGTGTGAATATAAAGAGGCTCTTCTGTGAAGACTAATGAAGATGAATATGGAATTTAGGGTTATTTAGACCCTGGCAGGGGGAATTTTATGACTCAGGTGCTCCCAGACACACCTACGGGTGCTATTTTATTCTTATGTACTTTAAGTCACTGAGAACTAAAGTTCCCGAAATAGAAGGAGCTTGCAAATGAATCCATGCAAACATACATACATGTGTGACTGTATGTATGTGTAAATGCTCAGGGCCCCGCATACTTCGTGAACCTCAGCACTGGAATACATGTGTCTGTAATTCTATACCATGTCTAAAATTATACGCCGTATATGGTATAATTATCTACTCTGATAATTATTGTCTTGAGAGCAGTTCCGCAGCGTCACATTTTCCTAATAACCTTTTTCAATGAATTAAAATGGATCCGCTTTTGTGCATTAAGTTGCCGTAAGTGAGAAGGCCGTTTATCTCTCCCGCGGAAAGGAACGTGTGACAGGCTTTCATGAAGCAGTCAGATCCCTTTGAGGTGGAAATAAGACATCCCAATCACTTCTGGTCTGAGGAACAAATTTACCTTAAATCAAGCAGCACATTGGAACAGATTGTTTTTCATGGGGAATTACTCGCCTGCCTCGCAGAGCCCTGCCGGCTGTGCGTTCCCACCACGGCCAAGACGGCCAGAGCCAGCCTGGGCTCGGACAGGTACTAGGCAGAATCGAAAGACGGAAAATACTGCTCCCAAGGAATACCTGGGAAGCGTCTTGTCCTCACTGGCCAATGATTCGAACTTTCCTTTCTTACACATTTCCAGAAAAGCCTTCTGTTTTATGAGAATCTTGTGTAGATCCTGTTTTTGAAATTAGTGCAATGCCATTTTCTCAATATGTTTGTTTATGTATTTATTTTGCTTTTTGGGTCCCACCCAGTGATGCTCGGGGGTTCCTCCTGAATTCTGCACTCAGAAATTACTCCTGGAGGTGCTCGGAGGACCGTATGGGATGCCGGGGATCGAACCCGGGTCAGCCACATGCAAGGCAAACGCCCTCCCCGCTGTACTATCGCTCCAGCCCTCAACATTTTTAATGACAGAAAAGGCTTCTTAGAATGAAAGTATGATGGTTAGTGGTCTGGGATTCTGTGTGTATTTTAGGCCCCTTTGGTGAATGTTTGCTAGTGAGTTCCAGCAGTTCAGCCCTGTCTTACGGTTCACACTGCCTGACTCTGGCAGGATCACCTGCACCTTTGGCGTCAGCCCTGGTTTATTGCACAGGAGGGCAGAGTCAGCGGGCGCTGGGGATGCCTCTCTGCCCCAGAGTCTTTGCTTCCAGGCCATTGCAGATGGAGACGGGAGGAAGAAACCAGGTGTCTGGGTTCCCTGATTTCATTGGTTCCCAGGGACCCCTCAGACGCCTGGTCACGCCACTGCCTCCTCCCCTGCCCCTTACCGCAGGGGCACTGCTGATGGCTCTGTCCCGCCACTGTCCCAGCTTCTTCAATCTCCTTGAGGAAGAAGATATCGAGTAATCCAGATACTCAGACTCCACTAGAAAGATAGAAAAGTTTGTTGAAGTAAGGAAGAAACTTCCCAGCCAGGGCGAACCTTAGTGTAGGACTGAGTGAGTCAAGGCTGGCTCATTCCCGTGGGATTTTTCAGTAGGAAAACTCATTCTTTGTGTTACTCATCGAGTGACAAGAATATCACAGAGAACACGAAGGTTTTTCAGGAGAGTGTGAGTAGCTTAAGGCCTTCTGGGTTACCCGTTAGGCCACTTGTCCAGGTACCTCCCAGTATCTTAGTTTCCTGAGAGCCGAGGGTCGGGGGTGGAATCGAGGGTCGGAGGTTTCCGCTTTGCCATCGACCCCCTTTTGCCTTCTTAGTGAGGAGATTGCTTGGCCAGTCACTCCTGATGCTGGGCAGGGCAGGCGAAATGAGGAAAGGGTAGACACTCAGCTCTGTCAGCATCACGGCTGTGGGGCTGATGGGTCCGATGGTGTCTCCACGCGCGGAATTCCCCATTTCAGCCCACCATGCACTTGTTAGAGAACTGCTGGTTTCCTGGAAAAGGCCCCTGAGCAAAAACCGCCTCCAGGCCCAGGTCCCTTGCTCCCATCTGAACAACAAAGTGCCCTCGGAGACAGGGAAGCCTTCCCTTCTAGAACCTTCACTGCCCCCGCCCCTGCTCCTGCAGCCCTTTAGTCAGGCTTGTCTTTCCGCCGAGGGGTCAGGACAGGGGTCTGGGCCCGGAGTCACCGAACAGGCAACATCTAACGCCCAAGGAGAACAGCTGCTCTTGACCTCTGCAGCCTAGCGGGGCTAGGAAAAGCCAGGACCTTCCATGCCCTCACCTGATCCCCAAGCCATGATGCTGGGAGGATTGAGTCCTGCACAGACAGACAGAGGGACAGACAGACACAATGCACACAGACAGACACACACAGATGGACAGACAGACACCGACAGAGACAGACACAGATGAACAGACAGACACAGACAGGCAGACAGACAGGCAGGCTGTCATACACGCAGACGGACAGGCAGACAGATGGACAGGCAGACAGACAGGCAGATAGACAGGCAGACAGACAGGTAGACAGACAGGCAGACAGGCAGGCAGACAGGCAGACACAGACAGACAGACAGGCAGGCTGTCAGAAAGACAGACGGACAGGCAGACAGATGGACAGGCAGAGAGACAGGCAGATAGACAGACACACACAAACACAACACACACAGACAGACACAGATGGACAGACAGACACAGACAGACAGGCAGGCAGACAGGCAGGCAGACAGACAGACACAGACAAACACAACACACACAGACACAAATGGACAGACAGACACAGACAGACAAGCAGACAGGCAGGTAGACAGACAGACACAGACAAACACAACACACATAGACACAGATGGACAGACAGACAAGCAGACAGGCAGGCAGACAGACAGACACAGACAGACAGGCAGACAGAGGGTGGTGTGCAGCGGCCCAGGCACATACCCTGTGCTAGGAGGGCTGAGAGAACGGGCTCAGCTGTGGGACTGAGTAGATGCTGAGAAAAAACAGGGCTGGGAGGAAGGTGGGGGCAGAGGGCCCAGACCCTGGGCCAGGGCCAGGAGGGCAGCGGCTCCTGAAGGCATCGCCCAGAGCGGGGGCCGGTCCCCGATTCCCAGGGGGCCCAAGAGGGACTCGGTCTCGTGGGCCCAGCAGGGCTGATGCCACTTCAATCTCCATCTGCTTGTTCCCCAGCCAGCGAGAATGTCGTCATCAGTCACCTGTTCCAGTCGAAACTGTCACCCACGGGGTCCCTCGTGTCCTGCTCACCAGCCTCAGCTCTCTGGGGACAGAAAGCCCCGCTGCTTAGTAAGAAGGCGACGGCGGCTGTGGCCACGGGCGAGAGCAGAAACTACCTGGAGCTGGGCAAGGTAGAGGTCCTGCCCCCGGGGCACCTTTGCTTTCTGTGTGTTCGTTCACAGCCACGCAGTGGCAGGGGCGAAACTGAGGCTTTATTTTCCCGAGTAAGGGTCTTATCAGACGTGTCACCCTGAGAGCAGGCCGTGTGTGTGTGTGTGCGGGCGCTGTTTTGGGCTGCATCCCCGGCGTCCTGTTCGCCTGCGTCCTTCTGTGACTGTTTTTCTGCTGACCAGACAGTGAGTTTGGACACCGTGACCTCAGAAGGAACAAACCCAGCTGCCTTGTCTCATGGGCATTCATCACTGAAGATGTCTTCTGGTCGCTAAACCATAAATTATCGTATTTTCATTTATCTAAGAGGCTGCACTCTCTTCCCTAGTTTTTCCATATGTCTAGCTTATTTTGTATTCATGTTGTGCTGTTTTTATATACCATATTCTATTTTTGTGTGTTATGTTTTATAGCATATATTTTGTATCGTGTCTAACTTACATATCATTCTCATGTTTTAAAGCCCATTCGACATATAGGGTGTGCCCTGCCAAAAACATCCTGCCTGTCTTTGAAATAATGAAATTGAGCTAAAATATAATGGAGTTGTTTCAGATCTGAGAAACAGTAGAAAGAGCTCCCTGTGAGAGGCCAGTTGTGGATTGGAGACCAGTTTGGGTTGGCTGCCTTCTATACAACTGTGGGGCGAAAATGGAACTATAATTAGGAAGGGGTCCAGAAAAACCTTGCTGGGATGCACTTTAGTTTTCAGCAATTAAAATAAAAGCATAAGTAAAATCAACTTTATTTATGAAGAGGGTATGTGTGTGTGTTTGTGTGCACGTGCATGTGTGTGTGTGTTTGTGTGTATGTGTCTGTTTGTATATGTGCATGCATGTGTGTGTTTGCACTCACGTGTGTGTGCATGTGTGTGCATACATGTATCTGTGTGTATGTGCATGCATGTGTATGTGTGCGTGTGTGTGTATGTGTGCATGTGTGTGTGTGTGTGTGTGTGTGTGTGTGTGTGTGTAGGGCATTTAACCGGTCAACCTGAGATAGGGCTTCCTGAATCTCGTTATTTCAGAATGGACTGCTTGCAGGAAGTCAAGCTAAATGTATGCAGAACAGGCTTGTTCACACAAGACAAAAGGTCCCCCCACCCCACGCCAGGAGGGAGAGCTCTGTGTGGGGTTTTGCTGGGCTTCCTGGCCGTCCTTTCTCAATCGTTCTGGAAATCAAGAGTAAGAAATCACCACACACCTCTAAACTGTAATTTTTAACCTTAATTATTAAACATTACCAGGCAGAGATGCCATTAGTCTTTTCCCCTGAGGACGGCGAGAGAGAGATAATTCAGTCCTCTCTCCACCCGAGAGGGGAACCGGGGGTTCAATTTCCAGGGCTGGAGATTTATTTATGACAGTGACTCCTTAAGTGCTCCATTCCCCACGTCCTGCAGGCAGCCTGACGTTACACTCTGCACCCCTCCTGCAGGACAGGACCCCATGGGCGCGGCTGAGCACTAGTCCCTTCAGGTCTGCAGAAGGTGGGGCCTGGTCCACATGGCTGCCCCGTAGTCCCAGCCCCAGCCAGTCCAGCTCTCACACCACACACTGGCCCACAGAAGGAGGAGCCGAGCTGGTGCCGTGCCCGCCGTCACTTCCACAGAGGAAAGATTCTGCACACGTTTCTCTCTTGGAAGACCTTTTTATTTCATGATAAATGATTTTGGATCGATAGATTCGTGGGTCTCAGTCTGGTGATTTTGTGAAATATAATAGTACATTAGTACCTGAGACACCTTTTAACCCCAGATAGAATTGAATTAATTTCCTCCTGTCCTTTTATCCATACTCATTGGTTTCATGCTGGTGGCCAGCTCTTGACTCCATTACCCTTGATTCTCTGCTATTGGGACGTGTGTGTGTGTGTGTGTGTGTGCATGCTTGTGTTAGAGCTTTATATATTTATAGTAAAGACACATTCTCTTATTAATCTTCAGAGGGATAATTTACAACTTCTCTTATATAAAAAATTAAGGAAAAGGAAATAAAAACAAGTAAGAAACCAATAATAGGGCAGGGTCACGGTGCTCCCGTTATTCATCAATTTGCTCGAGCAGGCCCAGTAACGTCTCCATTGTGAGACTTGTTGTTGCTGTGTTTGGCATATCGAATACGTCACAGGTAGCTTGCCAGTCTTTGCCATGCGGGCGAGATACTCTCTGTACCTTCCCGGGCTCTCCAAGAGAGGCGGAGGAATTGAACTTGGGTAGGCCATGTTGGCTGCGTGCAAGGCAAACGCCCCCTCTGCTGTGCTATCGCTCCAGCCCAAGAAACCAATAATAGACCTAGAATAATTGTCAAAATAAATAAATTAAAGCCAATGAGTCTTTAAATATCAGATCTTTGGACTGGAAAGATAGCATAACAGATAGGGTGTTTGCCTTGCACACGGCTGACCCAAGTTCAATTCCCAGCATCCCATATGGTCTCCCAAGCACGTGTAATTACTGAGTATAGAGCCAGGAGGAAAGCTCAACCCGCTCCTCCAAGGGGCCACGGCGAGGAACAGCCAGGCGCGGGGGCAGGAGACTGCACTGTTCTCCCTCCGGGCTCTGGTTTTTATAGTCTCTGAGTCTTGGCCACTGATGGGATTACACGGCGCCAGGGGGCCAGTTGGTAGGTGTGACCCCCGCCTACTGGAATTTGGAGGATCTGGGTGGAGGATGCTTGACTCCAATCTGAGTAGGCTTGGAGATCTTGGCCCCGGAACCCACGTGGCTTTGTCCCTCTGCCAGTACCTTCAGGTGTGCAGAGAGTGGTCTCAGCATGGTGGTGTCTGGTCCTGGAGGTCGTCGGCTGCCGGAGACCTGGTCGGGGTGGGGAGGAAAGCTCAACCCGCTCCCTCCAAGGGGCCACGGCGAAGAACAAATTCCAGTAGGCGGGGGTCACACCCACCAACTGGCCCCCTGGCGCCGTGTAATCTCATCAGCGGCCAAGGCTCAGAGACTATAAAAACCAGAGCCCGGAGGGAGAACAGTACAGTCTCCTGCCCCTGCGCCTGGCTGTTCCTCGCTGTGGCCCCTTGGAGGGAGCGGGTTGAGCTTTCCTCCCCGCCCCGGCAGCTGACGACCTCCAGGACCAGACACCACCATGCTGAGACCACTCTCCGCACACCTGAAGGTACCGGCAGAGGGACAAAGCCACGTGGGTTCCGGGGCCAAGATCTCCAAGCCTACTCAGATTGGAGTCGAGCATCCTCCACCCAGATCCTCCAAATTCCAGTAGGCGAGGGTCACACCCACCAACTGGCCCCCTGGCGCCGTGTAATCTCATCAGCGGCCAAGGCTCAGAGACTATAAAAACCAGAGCCCGCGAATGCGGCCGCGCGACATTTTATTATGACATCTCATTCCTACTTTGACAAACTGGCAGGCTCCCGAATGTAACCTGCCCACACGGCAGAGTCTGGCAAACTCCCCATGTCGTACCCAATATGCCAAATACCAGTAACAATGATGGGTCTCATTCTCCTAAAGAGCCTTGAATATAATCTCAGGGCTAGGATGAAGGAGACGTTACTGGGGCCTGCTCGAGGCAATCGACGAATAACAGGGTGATCTGTGATCTGATCTGTGATCTGTGATAGAGCCAGGAGTAACCCCTGTGCATGACTGGGTGTGACCCAAAAAGGAAGAAAAAAATAAAATTAACTTTAAAAGTTAAAAGAAAATCAAGTCTTTGTGGCATAGAATAGTCTCCTTTTGGGGCCAGAGAGTTGGAACAACAGATAAGGCACTTGCCTTGCACACGACCATCTTCCCTACAACCCCCATGTATGGTACCCAGAGCACCATCAGGGGTGGTCCCTGAGTGCAGAGTCAGGTGTGGTCCAAGATGAATAAAGCAGCATCCTTTAGCCTACAAGTGAGCTGCGCCAGTTGCATGATGTATATGGGCCATTTGTGCTTGGCGAGTTCCCGCCAAATGCCTTGGGACGGGCATCTGTTCTCCAGGAGGCTGTGCGTGAGGACGAGCCCCCTTCTCCCACCTTGTCCCCGTCCCTGCCCTGCCCAAGTGCCTGGGCTGCTCCTTTCTCACTGACCGTCGCGCCCCTCAGTCTGAGAACGTGTGAGTGGAAGTGTCGACTTGTGGGTGGTAACTACAGTGCTGTGTGTCTCCTCACAGTTGTTTAAGAAGAAGGGAGCCAGCACCTTCCTCCAGCGCCTGGAGCGCACCGGGCCAGCCACGGTCGCCTCCCAGCTCCGGGTGAGTCCATCAACGTGCTGACGGCGTCAGCCTTAAGTTTGGGATTTATCAGCTGAGGAGGGGGAAATATTTTGAGCCTTTCTGAAACACAAGTGGGTAGAAAACAAACAAGAGTCTATGTGGAGACAGGATTTTTTTTTAATTTTTTTTAGAATTGTGATTTTTAAAAGTTACTGATTGGGACCGGAGCACTAGCACAGTGGGGAGGGCGTTTGCCTTGCACGCAGCCGACTCGGATTCAATTCCCGTATCCCATATGGTCCCCCAAGCACTCCCAGGAATAATTCCTGAGTGCAGAGCCAGGAACATCACTGGGTGTGACCCAAAAAGCAAAACAAAAAAAAAACAAAAAAAAAAGTTACTGATAATTGAGTTTTAGATGTAGAATGTTTTGGCACCGGACCCTCCCCCAGTGTCTTGTTTCCCTTGACCGCCCCCGCTCTACACCGCCTGCCAGAGCTTGTCCCCCCTGGCTGGCCCATTTCTCAGTTTGGTGGCTGTAGTTCAGACCCCAGTTCTCAGTGCTGTCCTGGAGCAGGGGTTCTTTTCTTGATGCCTTTCTGTTTCCAGCGCCCCCTCCCCTGCCTTCTCGGGAATCAGCCGCCTTGTGCTTGTCTCTCCAGAAATCCCTCGCGGACGTTCTCGGGAAACTTGCGGCGTGCACCCCGCACTTCGTCCACTGCATCAAGCCCAACAGCGCCCAGCGGCCCGACGCCTTCGACAGCTGCTCCGTGTCCGCTCAGCTGCGGTACATCGGGGTCCTGGAGATGGTAAAGCTCAGCCGATACGGGTACCCCGTGCGCCTGCCCTTCACGCACTTCCTGGAGAGGTAGGCCCCTCCCCGGGGGCGGGCAGTGCTGTGGGGGGCGGGGGGGCTCTGCTTTGCTCCTGGGGCTGCTGGCCTTCTGGGGTCCGGAGGCGTGTGGGCAAGGGTCGGGGAGAGGGCGCTGGACGGTGCCAGGCTGCTCTTGAGAATCACTGACGACTTGTACTTACCCTTGGATTTAAAAACTTGTGAAATTGTGGCGTAGACTTGATATGATATGAAAGCATCCTGTAATTAGTAACAGTAACGTATTTATAGGACTGCTAATGAGAGATTAGTCTGATAATGCTAACGATTCTAAATTAGTGAAAGAAGAATAATAGGTGTTTTATATCTGCTGTTGTATGTATTGCGGGGCTCAGAGCCAGAAGTGCTGGGGCCTGCCAGGGCCCTACCTGGTGGTACATGTGTGTGTGTGGGGGGGGTAGGCATGCAGTCTTGGGGATGGAAATCAGGGCCTCAAAAAAGCACGGCATGTGCTCCCCCCAACCAACCACACTCCCAGCCACAAGCTCCTCCCTCCAGATGTGCACCCAGAGTGGGGAGATGGTTCAAAGGGTCGAGCACATACTCTGTGAGAAGCCATTTTTGACAATAAAGTTTTATTGGTTTATAGCTCCTGGGACAGATATTGAGAATGAGCTTTGTCAGGCTAGCAAAGATAGTCAAAAAGGACAGCCAAAAGCAAACCAGAACACATTTAGTGATTGTATGTTTGAAAAGAGAAAGAGCCTGGAGAGATAAAACGAGGCGGGGCGTTGCTTTGCATCAGCCAACCTGTTCGAGAGCCAGCACCACATGGTGGTCCCTGGGGACCACTGGGGGTGACCCCTGAGATCAGAGCCACGAGCAGGCCCTGAGCACCACTGTGTGTGACCCCAAAACGAGCAGAAATGTAAATAGAGAAAAAAGAATTTTAAAATAGTAGTTCTAATAGATCATGGGTAACAGTGTGATGCAAATGACACTAACCGTGTGCCTGGATATTCTTTTTTTTTTCTTTTTGGGTCATACCCAGCGATACTCAAGGGTCACTCCTGGCTCTGCACTCAGGAATTACTCCTGGCAGTGCTCCGGGGACCATACGGGATGCTGGGAATTGAATCCGGGTTGGCGGCGTGCAAGGCACACACCCTACCCACTGGGCTGTGGCTCCATCCCCTGGCCAGGACATTCCTCCCAACCAGCTCTTCATCACGCAGACATCTCAAGGCTTCTGTTGCTCATTTCCTTTTGAGACACTAACGTGATGAAACTGCTCAAGCAAGGCAAAATCCTGCCATATGAAATCAGGAATATGTAGTTCAGAACTAAGGGCTTCTAGTACTTAAGTCATGACTTAAGTTCTATATTCAGTAGCTTTTAACACTTGTTCCTGTGGTGGTGGTGGGGAAGTATTTTCTTGTGCATTCTGGCAACTTTCACAAAGACACAATGAGTAAACTAATAAAAACTATGAACTCACTTGAGCCATGCATTTGCAAAGGACCCATAGGACTCTTGAGGAAGAAGGATAAAGTTGTCTCTAAATCCCCGTGAGCTATCTATACAGCAGGCATATGAACTGCCAGATGTATGTTCCGGAGAAGCAAGATCTTCACGTCTATACACTCAAAAGTAGAATGTGGATGAGTCAAGAGCTGTTCTCCTCTGATTCGGCCCCTCCCCACTCCTCTGTGCACCCACCTCTTCCTGCTCCCTCTGTGGACCCGCCTCTTCCTGTTCCCTCTGTGGACCCGCCTCTTCCCATCTCCCTTTGGGTCCCCCTCTGGTCACGCTCTTCCTGTTCACCTCCATGCTGGTCTTCAGAAATGTTGGGGTCTGATGAGGCTGTTGCTTTTCATCTGGGGGATGGAAAGTCGACCCCCCACAACCACCAGCCCCATCCCCTCTGAACGCGAGTGGTCCTTAGCCCCAGACCCCAGAGGCTAAAAGCCCGCTCATAAGCAAGTTCCAATCCTACAGCTGCTCTGGCCAGAATCCCTGGAGAGCACCAGGTCCAGCCCCACATCTGCTCATGCCATGTGCTCTCAGGAGGGTCTCGACAGACTGTGGTGGGGTCACGGCAACTCCCAACCAAGCTTCAAGAGCAGAATCCTTTTCTGACCTCAGGTGCCATCAGAATCCGGATCCTGGGCCCACATCCATGAACCAGGTGAGGCCCCTGAGTCAGCATTTCTGACAAGTCTCAGGTGAGGCCGCATCCCCTCATGTGGAGACACTTCCAGTGTCACAGTTCTAGCCACGTGGGGATTTGGGGACAGTGGCTTTCCCTGCTGTTGACCCTAAGTCAAGGATCGAAGCTTCTACAAATGTCCTTCTCATCACAGTGGACTTGTTGGGCCCAAAGAGCTTCCAGGATCGACTATAGGTCTCAGTCTCCTCGTCTGTTGAGATGTCCCAGTGTGCCTCACATGCTGAGGATTCAGAAGAACTGAGAATGAATTCTGATGGGAAGGAGGAGTCATTTCCCCCCATGAACTGCTGCAAACTGTGTTCGAGTGTGTTCTGTGTCTCGGTTGTGTTAAACCGCCCTGAAAGCATGAATCAAAGCTGTGTCTTACGGGGTCTCCGATGCCCCTGGGAAAACCTTTGGTAATGTGGGTCTCAAGATCATTCTTCCAATCAGCAGTTATTTGAATTAATCTAGTGCTCCAGAAGACGGTGTGAAATACAGCCGTCTGTGCCTGTACTTCGCTGTGTGTATGCAAAGTGGGACAGGTCACAGACTACAGTGGTTAGAAAAACGTCTACCTTTGGGTTTTGTATTTCCCGAGACCAGTTTTATGTGTATTATTTTGCCAGAGCTACTCTCTAAGGAACAGTCTGTGCCATTATTATCGTTTAAAATTAATTACGATTTTTCATCTTTTAGGGGTAGTCATCTCTTATTAATCCATCCCTTTGGGCAGAGGGCTTGCCTGTTTCTTAATCACACTGTCTGAGAATTATAGATGTTTAATCAATGTTTTCAGAATGAACAGGGCCATGAAGACCCATGGCTACTTAATTGAAAGCAATGTTTCTCCCTAACAGGATTTATTTGGTAACAAGAGAGCAGAGATGAGAAATGACACATTCTGGAAAACCTTTGCATCTCGTTCTCTATTTTTTGTGGCTACACCCAGCAGTGCTCAGGGCTTCCTCTGCTCTCAGGGATCTCTCCTGGCAGTGCTTGGTACTATGCATGGCGCCAGGGACCAAGCCAGAATCAGCTGCGTACGGCACACTCCTTGGTCCCTGTCCCATCTCTCCGGTCCCAAGTGTCTCTCACCAGCCTTGGCGCTGGAAGGAGATGTGAACCCTGCAGTCCACTCTGGTTTGCAGTGACCCACCAGTAGGAGCAGATGCTTCGCTCACTTTGGTGGAAATTGGCCAGCTTTTCTCTTAAATGAAGGGCACCAGCATAGGACATTATCTCAAAATATACCGAGCTGTAGAAAGGCGACTAGTGTCTATGGAGCCTGGAACACAAACCATCCACCGCCACGCCCAGACATAAGCTCCGGTCTGCTTTCTTGAGTATTCAGGATGCTCGGGAGAGTTCAGAGACTCCCTGGGTAGTGAGGAACCATTATAGCAGCAAGGCTCTGGGGGTGAAGAGGAGATTTCGGTCACCGAAATAACAGCTGACAAAAGTCCTCGTGTGAAACCTTGAGTTCCTCAGTACCTTGCCATGCGCAGACTTCACCCCGGAGAACAGCAGGCTGTCTCAACACGGTAGCAGGAAAGGGAGAGAGGAGAGACAGCCCAGCAGGTAATGAGCTTCCCAGTGTGCCAACGACCTGGCCTCAATCCTGGGCACTGTGCATGGTCCCACAAGCACCAGGAGGAGTCATCCCTGAGCACAGAGCCAGGAGTCAGCCCTGAGCACAGATCCAGGAGTCAGCCCTGAGCACTGCCATGTATAACACCCCCCCTCACCCACCAAACCAACAAACGGTTAAGGAAATGCAGGGGGGCAGGGGAGCGGTTCCCAGTCCAGTCCCATTGATGACCCGACACAGGGCAGGGCAGGGCAGGGCAGGGCAGGGCAGGGCCTGGCCCCACCCCGCTTCTGGGCAGTGAAGCCTGGAGGTTCAGGTGTGTAACAGAATGATCCAGAAGCCCTCCGTGCTGCAGGGGAACGGTGCCGGCCACAGTCGGTGCCTCTTGAATAGAAATGTGAATTGATAACTCGGGAGCTGCTCGATCCCTGAACGCTGTGCGGCAGAGGCCCGCGTTGCTCAGGCTTTGCCAAGTTGGAGCGTAGCCTCTGCTGGCTCCGCTGTCTGGGCCTCAGCGACATGGGGGGAGGAGATGAGCGTTTGGATAAACAATGAAGGAGAGAGAGAGAGACAGAGAGACAGAGAGACAGAGAGACAGAGAGGGAGAAGGAAAGGGGGAGAGAACGAGAGAACCAGGGACGGGCGAGAGAGGAAGAGAGAGAGGAAGGAGACGGGAGAAGCAGGAGAAGGCCCAGAAGCCGTCCGTGTCCCCTCCTGCGTCCCCTCCTGCTCTCTGCTCGTGGACGCAGTGGCCCTGTGTCCTGTGTCCCTGCAGCCCGGGCCTGCGGGTCCCCCAGCCGGGGAGGAGCGTCAGCCGTGGGCTGTGGGTGACTCAGCTCTGTCCCTGGGTGCTGAGGACTCTGCATCCAGCCCAGCAGGCGGGTGGTCTGTGCCCGGGCAACGGGGGCTTCGGGCCAGGCAGTGGGGCTGGGGGCCTCGGGCAGAGCCCCAGAGTGTCCCCCCCCAGGGCTGTGTGGCCCCCATGCCTCTGCCTGAACCTGCGTCAGGGACGGGCTGACCCAGCCCCAGGCGTGCAGCTGCCTCCCCCCCAGTACCCCTCCTCCCCCTCCCCATCTCCCCTTCCCTGACCTCCTCCAGCTCTTTCCCCTCTCGCAACCCCCACGTTCCTCCCCAATCCTCCTGCCCCACCCCATCCCTCTGTCCCTCCATCCCTCCGTCCCTCCATTCCTCCATCCCTCCATCCCTCAGTCCCTCCATCCTTCCATCCCTCTATCC